ACTCTTCAAATTGGAGTTTGTTGACTTATGTGGTAAGTTAGTTGAAAAAAAAAGGGATTATATTTGCTACTGTGCATCACCATACTCTTCAATTCAATTAATATAATGTTTGTTTTTTAGCACTTTCAATAATGTGGGTTTCTTCAAAAACATGTGAAAAATATGTCTATGTATTTATTATATGAAAAGAAAAAGTGCAAGTTTTTAGTATTTTCAATGTAGATTTTGTACTTCCAAGGTAAAATAGATATTTTGAAGAGCCAATGTCAACTTGTCAGTTCTAAAGAGAGAGAAAGAGGTTGCAGAGAATTTCGTTAATGTAGCTCACCTATTTTAGCATTCTCAAACTGTTGAAGAGGTCTTCGACCGAAAAAAAAATTGTTGAAGAGGTTAAGTATATGATGTCTCTGTTTGGATTCTTAAAGGCCACTCTTGGTATTAAAATGAAAGATTGAAGAACCATTCCACATGTGTCAATATTTGTCAGTTTTGTTAGTTTGTGGAAAACGATATATACTTGCATTAGTTAAGCCAATTTGCTTATAACTGAAGTTTAAGAATGGCACATAATAAACTTCATCAATTAAACGATTTAAACTAATGGAAAATTCTACACATACACCAAAGGATACGAATTGAGAGAGAGAAGTTTAAATCTGTTATTGTAGGTTAAAATTAAAATACATTTGGTAAATAAATAAAAATTACGCTAAAATCAGAAAATATATAAATCATAAAGTGAATACGCTCTTTGCAGTTATTCTTCTCCATTAAAATTCTATCTTGACTCCTCTTCAAGCCCAGCCCTGAGCCAGGGCAGGAAGTGCGACCGCCTTGAGCCAGGGCCCAAAATTATTATTTTTTTGGTCATTGTCAGGTCATATTAAACGGTTATATAAATAAAAGAAAATATATGATGACATAAAGTAACGCCAGCGGTGTTGGTTAGGCCTGGTTTTTAATTCAAGTCCTTCCCGAGTTCGAATCCCAGCATTGTGTTTCCTTCCTTATGCTTTTTTTTTGTCTTCAAGTATGCAAGTTCTTTTTAGTAGTTCAATGCTCTCTTTTTTTGGGGTCTTCTGTCGTTTCTTATAGAGAGATGTATATGCAGGTTCTTTTTAGTACTCCAATGCTTTTATATACATCTCTCATTTTATAATATTATGTAGAGATATATATAAAAAACCACACAGCTACATCTCATTTTATAATATTATGTAGAGATACATCTCTTGTTTGCTTTTTTGTCTTCGATCCTTTCTTATATAGAGATATATATAAAATAAATGATATTATGTAGATCTCATTTTATAATATTCTACATCCACATAGATTTTTTTTTGTGTGGTATACATATATAGGGTCTATTTTCGGCGTTGCCCAGGGCCTTGAAAATCTCAGGGCCGGCCATGCTCCTCTTCTTCTCCATTAGAACTCGTTTCGTTGGCGTTGTCATTGCGCTAGCTCTATTGAGAGGGCAAGTACATAGTTCATGTGGTGGTGGCTCTTATTCATGATCTAGGGCTTTGTCAGAACTTCTTTCGTCATCATAGTTGGGTTGGTGGAATTTAGATGATCATTGAACTCGTCGTGGTCATCATTTTCACGTGGTGGCTCTTAGATGAGTAAGCCAAACTAAAGAAGAATGTGAAACTGTCTCCCACATTGATAAAGATTAAATAATGATTGAAAGGGTTGTGTTGAGTTTCATAGAGGAGATTTGTTTTTCCTTTTATTAAAAGTATTTCTTTGCTTATTTGTAGATTAACAAAGAAGTATTGGGATTTGAATAGGCCAATTTTCTTACTTGCATCAACTCTCAAGGTTTTGAAATCTCTAGATCTTTGTGGTGGAAAAGTGTGAGGCATTTGGCCGTCTCCAGCATTAGTCTTCCTACTTAACTTCCCATATTTAAGTATTTCAGTGGGGCTTGGACTTTGAAGGTTTGTAATAGGAAGAAAAAAAATACTATTGCCAAACACAGAGTCACTAATTGCATACAGAAATACAATTGCATTGCTAAACAATTTAGTAATTACGAAGCTTTGGCATCTGCTCCAAAACGTGACCTACAATTTTCAACTCAGAGATCCTTGCTATTACTACAAAAACATCATGGAAGACACACAAACGTATATGACATGTGAACAATTTTTCCTATGAGTAAAGTCATTGAAAGCTAATATGTAAACTTATAAACTATTTCAATGAATTATGTGGAACGGATTTATATTGATCATGCCTCACAAAACTATTTTAATGATTGTTTTCTTTAATAATATAAGTGCAATACAATGACTTTTTGAAGAGCAAGGAAAAGATAGTCATGAAATGAACTTATAATTTCTTCATTAAAAAAAAAAAAAGAACTTATAATTTATTATACTGATGAAATCAATGTTAGAAATGACAAATAGGGGAATATCCCCAGCTTCAAACTCCAGGTGAATGTCTCATGTACACTCCAGGTGAGATACCTTATTTGATAAAGGGAAAACAAGAATGAAAAGTTTACTTCAACATTCTTGATGATCTGATCTGATCATCATCAAGATGATAATCAAGTGTTGTATAAAGCTTTAATTCCTTGAATATCATCCGCATGCAAACTCTGGGTAAATCCAGCGCGGATTCCAGGTAACATGACAGCTCCTTCAACAGAGCTATGCTCAAGCCCAAGAAGATGACCAATTTCATGCAAAGCCACAGTCTCCAAATCCATTCCCCCAGGCACAGCACCCACAACCCACGTCTCATCAGCATCGTAGTGAAATCTCCCATTTGTTGGCGCATAAGCATGGGCTAGGACCCCACCTGGCCCATCAAACGGTCGTCCATCTCCATGTTCACCACTTCCAAAACTGATCTTCAGATCAGCGCTGTCAACGCTCTGAGCCCGACTGAAAGAGAAGTGTGTGTTGCCTGCCCATGTTGCAAAAGCACGTGTAACTGCGCCCACGGCATTAGCCGGGGTGCCTTGAGCAAAACCATAGGTGAGGTGATACTTATTGGCAGGCCATTTTGGGCTTCCTTGGAAGAAAGCATAATGAGCAACTGTGTGCCCCCCGTGGTGGTGAGGGTGCCTTTTTTTGCCTGATCGCATAGCGGTGGTGCCATTGATGATATCTGGCACACCACATCGAGGCATCATCATTTTCGATACGGTTTTTGTATCCAATGTTCCCGTGGCCTTGAGGTGGTAATTGATTTGGTAGGTTTTGATGGCCGCCTCCAACTGGTCGTCAAAGTCATCGTTGTTGATATCGCCATTCAAGTAACCAAACCTTTCGAGGTATTTTTTGAGGTCTTGGATGCCTTGAACTTTGTCACCCTTGTGACACCCCTTGAGATGGTCAAGGAACTCAAATGGTGATGATGTTTTGTTGTGGGTTTCTGATGCTTTTGCACAGGAGAGGAGAGAAAGGAGGATGAAGAGGAGGCTAGCGATTGTGAAGAGAGAAAGAGTTGTAGCTTTTGATGATGCCATTGCCATTGCCAATATTGTAAAGAAACGCTTTTGTGGTTTTGGATGTGTTGTGCAAAACCCTCATACTTTGAGGGGTATTTATAGGTTTATAAATAAATGAGCCTACCTTTGACATTAACGATCGAAACACGCGGTGTGAGATTTAGCTAAGTCTTCCATATCAAATAAATGACTTGGAGTCTTCAAATAAGTCTTTGATGTTCGAGACGATGGCCGGGAAGATAAATATTCAAATAAGAGACTAATTCTTAGTTAGTATATAGTATTTATTTGAACTAGTCTGTCTATATGGGAGTGACTGGCGGAAGATTAGCTAATCTCGAATAAATATTGATTAACTAAATACCCAAATAATACCTAATTCCAAGCTTAATGTTTCTGGTCAAACTTAATGTTTCATACTAGAGAAATAATTAACCGTCTTAGGAAAAAATAGAGATACGTAGTGTCCTGTAAAAGATGGAGGTAATATCACATATATATGGACATAAAATAAAGCTCATGTCATAAACTAGTATAACAAAAAAAATTGTATATAACTCAGTTGATTGAGGTCTTCTACCTTCATTTATTTAGGCCGAGATTCACTCAATGAATATTTGTGTAAGTTAACCCCCTTCCCCATTCACTCTTGTACTAAAAGCAAACGGTATGTGCACGGTTTCAGCGACAAAGTACAAGTTTTATATATAGTATTGCAATTCGTATAATTTCAAATCGCTTTTTCATTTTGTCTGGCTGTAAGAAACACATGCGTTGTTGGAATTAGTCTGGCTGCTATAAGAATTAGTCTGGCTATGTTAGTGTCCTGGAAAAGGTTGATGGAATGGAAGGTAATAGATTGATATAAAACAGAGCTGATGAACTAGTATAACAGAAATAAAGATAATCGGGATCCTAAAATATTAACTGGTATGTTGTTTTTTTTTTTGGTCGAAAGGCAAATTCATTGAAAACCCACAAAAGGGCAAATGGGAGTGACTGGCGGAAGATTAGCTAATCTCGAATAAATATTGATTAACTAAATACCCAAATAATACCTAATTCCAAGCTTAATGTTTCTGGTCAAACTTAATGTTTCATACTAGAGAAATAATTAACCGTCTTGGGAAAAAATAGAGATACGTAGTGTCCTGTAAAAGATGGAGGTAATATCACATATATATGGACATAAAATAAAGCTCATGTCATGAACTAGTATAACCAAAAAAAATTGTATATAACTCAGTTGATTGAGGTCTTCTACCTTCATTTATTTAGGCCGAGATTCACTCAATGAATATTTGTGTAAGTTAACCCCCTTCCCCATTCACTCTTGTACTAAAAGCAAACGGTATGTGCACGGTTTCGGCGACAAAGCACAAGTTTTATATATAGTATTGCAATTTGTATAATTTCAAATCGCTTTTTCATTTTGTCTGGCTGTAAGAAACACGTGCGTTGTTGGAACTTGGAATTAGTCATTAGTCTGGCTATGTTAGTGTCCTGGAAAAGGTCGATGGAATGGAAGGTAATAGATTGATATAAAACAGAGCTGATGAACTAGTATAACAGAAATTAAGATAATCGGGATCCTAAAATATTAACTGGTATGTTGTTAGAACGTGGTATTTGGTTCATATATTATTGCAACTTGTATCATTTCAAGTTGCGTTTTCATCTTGTCTAATAAGAGGCACGTTGTAGGAATTAGTCTGGCTGCTTAGGAATTAGTCTTCTGCTATGTATCATTCCCTCAATAATCAGCTGTTGTGGGAATGACTTCAATGCCTTAAGTATTCAACCCAGATATTTATAGTACAGCACAGTACATGTACTAAAATCAAATCTACATATATATCTGGAAACCAGAAGAAGAGTGTCTCCCAAGTCACTTACACAAAGTAAACTGAAAGGATTCACCGTATCAAAATTGTTGAAATCTACCTCACTTGTGAGAACCATAACCATTCACCCCCAATTCTACCTCACCGGTCTTCTGGATTGCCAAATTTCCCTCTTCTTTAATCTCTTCATCAACATCATCTTCAGAATCCAAACTAAATATTGGCTCTGATTATCAAATTGATGCGTTTCCACACCAAGCGGCTTATAGCTTGAAACATCACCCCTGCCTCCACTTTCTTACCAAAATAATTGAGTACACTCCCACAACCAAAACCACTAGAAGAGCAAGGTGGCAATTAAACTCTAGTGTGACAATGGCTCCCTGTGATATTCAGGGTGTCCCTTACACTTCACTGTGTAATTCTATTTTCTCTTTTCGTGCAAAGAACACCCATGAGCCATCCAATTGGTGTATAAAGGAATACCCATTTGCAAAAACCAAGTTCCTTGTACAAGTAACCCAATCCCACGAGCCAATTTTCGGTAATTCGATTTTGGGTTGAAATGAAAGTATAAACTCTTGTAAGGTGCCCTCTAATTTCAAGCACAATAATCAAACTTCTACGGACGAAAGAAACTTCAGAGATGAAATGAACTTATACTTCATTAAACTGACGAAATTAATATTACAAATTACAAATAGGGGAATATCCCAAGCTTCGAACTCCAGGTGAATATCTCAAAAATGAAAAGTTGACTTTAACGTTCTTGATGATCTGATCATCATCAAGATGATAATTAAGTGTTGTATAAAGCTCTAATTCCTTGAATATCATCCGCATGCAAGCTCTGCTGGGTTACTCCAATGAGGATTTCAGGAAGCATGATAGCTCCTGGAACAGAGCTATGGCCAAGCCCAAGAAGGTGCCCAATTTCATGCAAAGCCACAGTCTCCAAGTCCACACCACCAGGCACAGCACCCACAACCCACGTCTCATCAGCATCGTAGTGAAATCTCCCATTTGTTGGCGCAAATGCGTGGGCAGCGGTCCCGCCCGGCCCATCAAACGGGTGTCCATCTCCATGATCACGCCTTCCAAAACCGATCTTCAGATCAGCGCTCTCAATGCTTTGGGCTTGGCCGAACGTGAAGTGTGTGTTGCCCTGCCATGTTGCAAAAGCACGTGCAACTGCGCCCACAGCCTCAGATGGGGTGCCTGGAAGAAAACCATAGGTGAGGTGATACTTATTGGCAGGCCATTTTGGGCTTTCTGGGAAGAAAGAAAAGTGAGCAACTGTGTGAGTTGAACCATGTCCTCCCCTTTTCTTTCCTGATCTCATGGAGGTGGTACCGTTGATGATATCCGGTACACCACATCGAGGCATCTCCATTTTTTATACTGTTTTCGCATCTAATGTTCCGGTGACCTTGAGGTGGTAATTGATTTGGTAAGTTTTGATGGCCGACTCCAATTCATCATCAAAGTAGTCATCATTGTTGGTATTGCCATTCAAGTAACCAAAGTTTTCAAGGTATTTTTTGAGGTCTTGGATGCCTTGAACATTGTCACCCTTGTGACACCCCTTGAGATGGTCAAGGAACTCAAATGGTGATGAAGTTTTGTTGTTGTGGGTTTCTGATGCTTTTGCGTAGGAGAGAAGAGAAAGGAGGATGAAGAGGAGGGCAGTGATTGCGAAGAGAGAAAGAGTTGAAGTTTTGGATGATGCCATTGTAAGGAAATGGCTTTGGTTTTGGGTATGTTGTGCAAAACCCTCATGCAGTGGAGGGGTATTTATTATAGGTTTATAAATGAGCAGACTTGCATAAACGGTCGTGACACGGTGAGATAGAGGTGGGTCTTCCAAACTAATTACATATGACTTGGACTCTTTAGACTAAAGCCTAGTCTTAGAGGTTCGAGAAGAAACACATAAAAATGGTGTTAATTTTCTCGTCAAAGTTAATTTCGTACAGGAAATAATGAACTACCATATGGAAAATGGAGGCACATAGTATCCTGGAAAAGATGGAGGTAATATCATAGTGGACTACTTTGGCCGAGCCAGAATTTTATGTTTGAGGAGGCCACAATATAAAACACAAGAATAATAAGTAATATTAAAATAAAACACATGAATAATAAATATATTAATATTCAAAATTAAATAAGTGATACGATTAAAAGCACCACGTTTTTTTTTTGGAGCCTCTTATTATTAATATTTTGGGAGATTCACTATTATACATAATATAGGGGCCCAAATTATAAAAATTTCCTATATGAAATGGACTTTAGAAACACACCAAAAACCCATTTACAACATAACAAAGAGGCTTTTAACTTCTTATAAATTACAAAACTGAAATCTATTTCTTAAAACAAGCCTAACCCCAAAACCTCATAAAAAAAAACCCAAAACACTCAATAGGCATCAAAGTAATTTAATAATTAAAATTAAATTAAATAGAGCCAGTTATTTTTTGGGTGTTTTTTGGGTTTGTTTATAGAAATTAAATTGTATAGGGTTTATTTATATTTTTTGTGTTAAGAATATGTCTAATATTTTTTAATACAAGCGATAGTCTAAACTATAGGAGAGCCTCAATTATATTGATGAACTAAATCGGCTGCTTATTTTTTCAGTAATTAGTGCAAGTACTTTACTGCAACACACACAAGACATGAATGGTGTCTAGTCTAATTACAGAGCATAGATGAGGGGCCATAAGCAAAATTATACAACTTTCTTTCCAAACATGTTAACTATAGCACATATACATATCACTGCAATGAGAAAAATCGGTGGGGGTGGGGGGCCAAGGCCATTGCTGGCCTTACAATGGCTCTAGATATCCAAATTATAGTGATAAAATAACGAGAGACATCTATAAACCACTGTGAGCCGTTTGATCATATTTAGTATAATAGAAGTGAAGATTTTTATATAAAATGATATTTTATTAAAACAAAAAAAGTGGTATTTGGTATCATTTCAAAATGCCTTTTCATTTATCACCGCCCATGGGAATGGAGCGCATTTCGTGGCCAGCCGTTTACCTCCATTGGGAGAGCTCCCGCAGCGAAAGGGATTAGTCACTGCTGTCGACGGTGGATACCCTTGGGTCTCACCTAAAAAAAAATGCCTTTTCATTTTTTGTCTAATAAGAAGCACGTTGTTTGAATTATTCAGGCTAAATGATATTTTATTAAAACGAAAAAAGTGGTATTTGGTATCATTTCAAAATGCCTTTTCATTTTTTGTCTAATAAGAAGCACGTTTTTGGAATTATTCAGGCTCTGTACGGGGCATCCTGCACAAAGGATTTCTATTGTGGGAATTACTTCAATTTGGGAGAAAGTATTCAAGCCAGCCCACACATATAGGGCAGTGCCTTATACCTTGTTCATTTTAGTTCTACAACTGCAAACACAGTCAATTGATTTATATATACAAAGCATGCATTGCCTTCAAATTCATCTTGGTGCCAAGTATGTATGTTTGCAATAACGCACGCCAGTGCCTAGGGATTTTGAACTTGAGATAACTGGTCTTAGGCCGAACATACTTTTCCAATATGGTATGACCGCATTAGCTATTTAAAAAGTAAGTTGCTTGTTGTCTTCTATGTTGAGTGTCAAACGCTTGTCTCCTCCCCTCCCAAATAAAGAAAATCATTCAAGCAAGCAGTGGAGTTTCTTACAGAATTAGGAAGTGGGAAACTTGTTTAGGTTATAATGGAAGTTCAAAATCCAACCTGCTCTTGTATGATCTTCCAGCTTAAACACCAAAGATATCAATAAATACACAAATCTTCTTCCCTGTCTAGCACACAACTCTTCTTTCTATTTTTCATATATCCTATTTGGGACAGAAGAAGCAAAGTAGTGCTCGTATGTCGACCCAAAGAAATGAACAAAAACTGAACTTAGGAACCAAATCACAAACACAGAGTAATCAAATTAAACAAAAACTGAAAAAGTTTGAAGAACAACATAATGTATCACATGAACTAAAATCAAATCTACATAACTGAAAACCAGAAGAAGAGTGTATCCCAGGTCACTTTTATACCAGTGGTAAACTGAAAGAGATAAAAATAGGAGTTTTACATTCACAGTATCAAAATTGGTAAAATATACCTCACTTGTTGTGAGAACCATAACCATTCATCCCCAATTCGACTTCACCGGCCTTCTGTATTGCCAAGTTTCTTTCTTCTTTAATCTCTTCATCAACATCATCATCTTCAGAATCCAAAGTAAACTGGCTCTGATTACCAAATTGATGCGTTTCGGCGCCAAGCGGCTTATAGCTTGAAACATCACCCCTGCCTCCAGTTTTCTTACCAATAATTGAGTACACTCCCACAACCAAAACCACTAGAAGAGCAAGGTGGCAATTGAACTGAAGTGTGACAATGGCTCTAGCCCTGTGATATTCAGGGTGCCCCTTACACCTCACTGTGTAATTCCCTCTGCTCTTTTCGTGCAAAGAACACCCGTGAGCTATCAAATTGGTGTACAAAGAAATACCCATTTGCAAAAACCAAGTTCCTTGCAGAAGTAACCCAACCCCACGAGCCAATTTGGGGTAATTCGATTTTGGGTTGTTGAATTCAAGCATTGTGGAGAATATACAAACCGCAATTGGCACAAGCAACATATCAAAGTACCGATTTTCAATCCCACTAGTGTCTTTTTTTCGAAGGTAAAACAGTAAAAATTCTTCAATGAAAGCGAAAAGACCAACCAAACTGAGCAACGAACAAGGCAAAGTGGAATTTGTGAAGTTTACCAGGAGACCCGTGATTGCGTAGAGCAAGAAGAGCGAGGCGATTGCCATCACTTGCAATTGGAGGGCTGAGCCGACTCGGTCACTCGCGTCGTTTGCGTCAAAGAATGAAACCAAAGAATTTAGAACGAAAAGTAACGAGATGACAGAGGCAGCGAGATAATAAATCGACGACGTGCGAGATTGGATGCTCGTCTGCGTTCTTGAATTTGAGGATTGTGAAGATGGAGGTGACGACGGAGTTGAATCTTGGTCTGGGATTTGGATTGAGGTAGAAATGGCTTCGTATGCACCCATCAGAATAAGGCCGCAGCCTGCTGCTGCAAAAGTGAGAAACCCCATTCTTGATCTTCGTCTTCTTCTTCTTTTCTTCTTCTCAGTTACAGAGGAAGAGATCTTGAAGGCCTCCAATGGAGGGTTTCGTTTTCTGAGATGGTCTTGTTGGTATGCGTCATGTCAGACTCTGGGTTTGTATCGTTGTTATTTCCGCTGACAATTGTAGCACACCGCTGACTTTTCGGTTGGCTGCTTATTCGCATTCTGCTTCCGCGAACCTCAGACCCGCCTCTCAGGTGGGCAACTACCAGGCTGCATTCATTATTGGACCCAATCAAAGCCCAGCTTATAGAGCCCTTTTTTTATCAAACGGGTTCTTCTCCATATGGACTTACTGAATTCGTCTCTCTCTTTTTTTGAATAAAATGATATTCTAAACTATTCAACTGTATCGAAAGAAGAATCGAACTCGAATAAAAAGGATTGGCACATTATCTTTGAGCAACTGGTGTAACCCACATTTGTTTGTCTTTCTTCTCATCTTTCGTTTCAGTAATGTTACGAATAGTGACCCCATGCATGATGCATCCTACAATTATCAAAGGTTGAAAACGATCCCACACGCAGACAACTTTCGCTAGCACAACTTTCTTTCTTTTTTTTTGGGTTTTTCAGTTATCGTTGTGAGCCTTGTGACTTGTGACGTGTGAGTGTTGTACAAGCTCCACCTGGACAATTCATGTGAAATATGAAAGTTAAAAAAAAAAAAAAAAGGTGGGCCGGAGAAGGTAGAGGCATTATCCGCTATAAAATTGATAAACAGATAAGCCCAAACCCATGCTGGGTGACCCCATCCCTTGTCGATCTCCCCAAGAGGCTGCAATTCAGTGCATCCGAACTCTTTAGTCATGTCTGCAACTTCCTCTTCTTTCTTTCCTTTTAATTTTGTAAAAGATTTATCTCCATATTTCCCTTCTTATATTTTGTAAAGGGTTTAGGGAAATTTAAACCCGAAAAAGTAAAAATTTTAAACCACACATAACTAAAAAATGAAAATTGTTAAACCATATATGTAAAAGTTAATAACCAATATTAACGAAAATGATCTACTACCATATTTATCTCTCCTTGAAAAAAAAAAGGTGGGCCGGAGAAGATAGAGGCATTATCCGCAATAAAACTGATAAACAGATAGGCCCAAACCCATGCTGGGGGACCCATCCCTTGTCGATCTCCCCAAGAGGCTGCAATTCAGTGCATGCGAACTCTTTAGTCATGTCTGCAACTTCCTCTTCTTTCTTTCCTTTTAATTTTGTAAAAGATTTATTTCCATATTTCCCTTCTTGTATTTTGTAAAACCAAAATTTATTTCTTAGCTAGGAGTGTCACAAGCGTCAGAAAAATAAACTAAAATATTTGTATTTCTCATGGTAGTACAAAGTAAATTACAACGAATATTTTCTATGAATTTTAAACCCGAAAAAGGAAAAATTTAAACCACACATAACTAAAAAATGAAAATTGTTAAACCATATATGTGAAAGTTAATAACCAATATTAACGAAAATGATCTACTACCATATTTATCTCTCCGGAATTGTGACATAAGTGGAAAATCATGGTAGAATAGGAGTATATTGCTATATTTTTTTTTCTTATATAAGAAAATGTGTGTATGCAATTAAACATATCTTAGGTTATATAAAAAAAAAAAAACCTATTTTGATCGATTATTCTTAGGTTGTATGATTTGTTAGAAGAAAAAAGAAATCCTAGACCCGCTTGCAGAAGATATAACCTCCCCTCATGGCTTTTGAGTTAAGCTGCAAGAAAGCACACAACGGGAACTGGTAGTTGGACCCGTCATCAGCCTGTAGATTTTGTGTATAAATACATATCTCCTTCTTTCCCCTCTACACACAAAAACAAGGACGAAAACACAACAGAGCCATGAAGATCAAAGGTCTTGTTCACTTTGTTTATGCAATCTACTTGGTTTCTGTCCTGTTGGGTATCCAAGGACCTGTACACGGACGGCTACTCTCACTGAAGAAACCCGACCCGGAAAATGCTGCTGCCACTGCTCGTTGGTTGGTCTCTCAGAATTCCTGGGGTGTCTTAAAGTATAATCTCTCTCTCTCTCTCTCTCTCTCTCTCTCTCTCTCTGCTATTGGTCTATATTATCGTATGAAGAAATGCTTTAAGTTAAATTGGGGGCTCAGTTTTGCTACAATAACTGGCTTCTGGGTCGATTATATTATATGTTTTTTTTTTCATTCTTTGGTTTCCAATTAACCGGAAATATGATCTTATTTGGCTATGTGATTGCTATAATTTCTTGCAATTTAGTTTATGTGTGTTAATGAAGGAAGGAATTGATGCTGCAATTGGGTGCTATAGGAACATGGATAATTTATGAATAAGTCAACCCAAATTATGTGAAGGAAAGAAAGGAAGGAACTTTTCTGCTCCTGAAATTTAACAGAACACCATTGAATCAATATGATCTAAACAAGTTTCATTCTTCATAATACAAATGTCAAATAGAAATCTGATAACTGTTCAATTGTTTATTACAAGTCCCAATTGCTTGTCAATCTTGCTTGAAAAATATTGACTTGTGTTTTTGTGATATATTGAAGCTCACTTATCATTTTGTTTTTGCAGTACAATCTCAAGCGAATTGGGAGGAGCACCCTTTGGGTAAGTTTTTCTATTGCTTATAATTCTTATCTATATTCTTGCGTTACTTCCTCGTATATTAGCTGCTTGTGTTTCAAGTTTCAACTGCTGTCTTCAGATATAATACCTAGTGCTAATTGCAAGATTAGCCCCAAACGAAAAGTATTTTGCTGGGTTGGCTTGAGGCATGACATGAAAATTTTGTTTCGGTTCTTTGTTTCTTATTTCTGCCCCTTAGGAGGAAAGTGTTTCCATAACAGGAGAGTGCGCTTGTAATGCATATTGCCATTTTCTTCACTCTGATTCTAATTTTGATAGATTCATTCATTTTGCCTTTTCCTCCAAATAATGCTCCATGTTTGGCTGAAGCCCTTGTATATGAAGGTCAAAATAATAATAAAAAAACAATGCAGGAATGTGGTCTCGTTTAGCGATGGAGAACCTGGAAAAGGTAGGGGTATCCCATACTTCTACTTGACAACTCTGGATCCCACTGCAAGAAATGCACTGAAAGACCAGAGGGCTTCGTTGACAGTTAGTGAACATCCTATTGGAACCTGTGGGAAGACAGACCCTGAGAACCCCACTTGTGCAAAGATTACACTTACAGGAAAGGTGTGTTGCAACAGCAAGTTTATTTTTGATCCATGCTATCCCGAGGGAAACTAGGAATCACTTTAATTTTGACTAACCTGGAACGTTTGGTTTTGCTTAGTTGAAGATTGCTGATAAAGATTCCAAAGAAACAGAGTTTGCTAAGAATGCCTTGTTCTCAAAGCATCCAGAGATGAAGGGTAATTACACAAAGATTTCACATACCACCTGCAGTTGTTTCATAATTTCATTGTTCATATTTTGCTCACCAACTAAAGAGATTTTTATTTATGTTGGATGGTGAACAGATTGGCCCAAGAATCACAACTTCGAGTTCTTCAAATTAGACATTGAGAATATCTTCTTGATTGATTGGTTTGGTGGTCCAAAACCTCTCACAGTGGATCAATACCTTCACACCCAAACGTGAGTGTCAAAGTAGCAATAACATGTTTGATATAGCTGATACATAGAAGAAAAAAAAAAAAAGTACCCAAAATTTAATGTAGTCTCATGTTATCATATTTGAATAAATAAATTTACTTTCTTTTCTCAAATGCGGATTTTAAGTTTCTGTTTGGTTTTCTGCTTCCTGAAAATGTGTCTCTGTCATCTACAGGACAGAATACGCCTTCATTCTGGGATTTCTCATCTAACTGTGATTCTCCCTCTTGCAAGTTTATGAGCTGGATCTGCATTTAAATTGTGCATAATGATTCTATTGTAAATCAGAAAACACAATTGTAATTGTATATATAGTCCATGTAATTTCTATAAATCGTCACACAAGTAAGTGTGCCGTCCAATCATAATGATTTGTTTGTACAAGGGGACTGTAATTTTTCTTTCTGTGGTATAAGCCGAAAATGTAAATTAGCATGCTGTTTGTAACAATAATTTGTGGTTGATAAACACAATGGAATGGACCGGTATGTATTCTCAGAGATGTTTTCAGTGCCTTGTAAAAGGCGTAGTTCACTTATTCCTATAAGATTGTATGTTTATTTTTGGTTTGTAACCAACGAGAAGAAGACTGTGAAGAGATTCCGAAGTTTTAAAAACATAGGTCTTTTTTACGAGTTAATATTCTAAAGGGTGCTGTTAAATTTGTACTGTGATTGGAACATTATTTTGGATTTCGTTTAACAACACCCTATTATAAATTACTCTAACTTACTCTAATCTACGAAAAACAAAATTGAAACTCGATGTAAATGGCCGGTTACATTACCTTAACGAATTGACCCAACTCAAGTTTAAAACTATGTTTTACCGTTTTGACTACAAACTTAACACTTATGAAAGATGAAGAAAATTCATTTGGATTAGATTTATGGAATCATGGCTCAATATGTTTTTTGGGTTTGAACCATGAGGTGGTCCTGGATGGGCCCCAACTATGGGTGACACTTTTAAGCCTTAACCACAATACAGACTAATCTCCTCTCACACCGGGTCGGCCCGTAAGGGGTAAAGTGCTGGCCAAAGTGGTGACTCCATACAAGAGCAGGGATCAAACCCCTGACCTCTCTTAAGGAATGAGAGTGCTGAACCACTCACACCAACAACCTTGGTTCATGGCTCAATATTTTTTGATAATCAATCAGTCTCAATTTTTCCTTTTCTTTTTATTTATTTATTTGATCAGATGGTCCCTTTTTTTTATATATTTTTTTAAAGGCAGATCGGATGGTCTCAATTTTATTTGGTGAAGGAGGTCATGCGCGAGTCACGTGATTAAGGATAGATATAGTCGTTAGAACAATTGGCTCGTTAACAGTCAGACTCAGAAGCTCAGAGCTTTCTTCATCTTCTTCTTCTACTCCCATGAAATGTTGCTTCCTCTAACTCACATTCCCGCTTATCCATTCCCGCCAAAACCCCGAACGGACCAATCCCTCTCTCCCTTATTTTCCTTCCCTAAAACCCTTCCCTCCCAAAATCCTAGACCTTCCAAATTCGCAATCCGGAGCTCCACCACCGACACTAAAACCCTTGCCCCCAAGTCCGCCATTCAACGCATCGCCGAGAAGCTCCGA